TATTTTATTATTATTTTTATTTATTTATTTATTTATTTATTTTTATTTATTTTTTTGTTGTTTATCATTGTTAGGCATCATACAGGGTCGGAGACGAAGAGAAAGCATGGGGTATTGGAGGGGAGGTGAAGCTATTCTTTGCGATAAGTGCCCACCTCCTTCATCCTTCTCCATACTTATCATTCTGTCTCTTATACACATCTAGATGTGTATAAGAGACAGGTATTGGAGGGGAGGTGAAGCTATTCTTTGCGATAAGTGCCCACCTCCTTCATCCTTCTCCATACTTATCATTGGGTGGTCCTCTCAGATGCCTGCCTCCTCGGTCTATTTGTTTGACGACATGATCCCCATTGATTAATCATGGTTTCAGCTTGACCTAAGGACTAGCAATTGATTGCATAGATCACACATGATCAGTGGCAGGGCGATTGCGGGAGCTCTGCCGGAGTTCAGGCGGAACTTTGGAGGCAGGGAATGACGAGGTATGTTACTTCGACCCAGGTGCTGTCTCATACAGGCTATCATCGTGACAATGACCATAAGGGTTAGAAATTCAGAATCAACAAGCTCTTAAAGTCTTGGATTGCGGGTAGAGAAAAGTCTGGCTGAATGGAGACTAATTGCTTCTTGATACAACAATCTTGTTGTGGGCATTGATTGGAGGTATGGATACAAGCTATCAACCTCTAGTGATCATTCTCTCTATATCCCATCCAAACAGATGATGGGTACCTTGGTTTGAGTTGCCATAATCAACTGTCATAGATCACACCGATCATTGCTCATTATACATCTGATCCTGCAATAAGTCTCCAAACTAACAACGATTCTGGGCTCGAATGCCATCGAACACCCGCCTTATTGAGGGATAGCCACTGATAAGAGTAGCAGGGGAATCCTGTCTTATCAGTGACTAGTCTGATATAAGAGTTGTGAGTTATCAAGAACACATACCTTATAATTAACCAACTTAACATTCTTTTCAGTGGTAAGAGGAAGCAAGGACCCTTGGACACCTACCTTATTGAGAGGTAGCCACTGATAAGAGTAACAGAGAATTTTGTCTTATCAGTGAAGAATCTGATATAAGAGTTGGGAGGTTTCAAGGACACCTGCCTTATCACTGATTAAACTTAACATTCTTTTCAATGGTAAGAGTAAGCAAGGATCCTTAAACACCCGCCTTATTGAGGGCTAGCCATTGATAAGAGTAGCAGGGGAATCCTGTC